TAAAGAGGCCATACTGTGTAACCCAGTGAGAGAAAGGAGAGTAAATAGTCCCCAACTCTCTCCATCTTCCTAGGCATGGCAGTTAGACTCCCCTGGCTGGGTCCTGGCTCAGGATTGGGATGAAGAACAAGGTGGCACTAAACTTTCAAATGCCTTGTTTCCTCTGCATCATCACCCTGGGTAGACAAATAGGTTCTCCATATCAAAAATGGCAGTGAGACTCTAAAAGACCTGGGAGGAAAGGTGGAGATGGTTTCAGAATTGAAAGTAAGTCTTCTGAAAAGCCCAAATTGGCAAATGACTGTATTTTGTTTTGTTTTTATTATGTTAATCATTTGCTTTTTAAAATAGCTGTATTGAGTTCTCATTTATATATCATACAGTTAACCTATTTTAAATGTAAAGTTCCATTTTTAGGACATTCACAGAGTTGCAAAACTATCACCAGTTTTAAGACTGTTTTACCACCCAGCAGACACTCTATAGCCACTAGCAGTAATTTTCCATCTCCCTTCCCCACATACACTCAGGTTTGTGTCTGACTTCTCTCTTCTCTTTTTGGGAAAAAACCCTTGTACCACGGTCTTCCCCCACCTGCCAGGCAGGATGTGGAGCACTGGTAACGGGGGAGCTTACACTTTGAAACTCTTGGCAAGAAATAGCATATGTGTTCTCTGTTTGAATATTAGCCTTTTATTTGTATTCCTTTTGGCTAATAGATAAGGGAGATGTTTGGGGACAGCTGTGCTTACCTGAGGCCAGGGGAGAAAGGCGAGTCTCTCAACTAGGTAGGTACAAGGATTGAGAACTACTCTGTATCCCAATTTCAATGGTGTTGAATCATAGGTATCATGATTAAAACTAGTCAAACTGATGCTTCCACTGAGGAATTTAAGCAGCACACTGGTGTTCAGAGAAAAGAAACAGCAGCAGTCTTCCAGCAAAGATCTGTAAAGCTGTGACCAGACAGGCTGGGGAGCTTGGCTGTCACTAGCATTTGGGCAGAAAATGGACCCATGACATTCCATTTCAGGAGATGACTGAAAACAGCATGGGAAAGTAACAGTCTAAGTCTCTTCGCTAACTAAATTGTGTCTAGTATTCTCAAGTTTGGGATTTGTCTAGTATGTTTTTTCCAGAAACTATCTTCCTTACTCTGAAAAGGGTTATCATGACAACGTAAGGCAGGAAAGGACTCTGGGGTCTAGCCACTTTAGCCCCATATCACCTTAGGCACTGTGTTTGGGGGCTTCTCTGTATCCTCAGCAGATTTGTTAGAGTCTGAAATCAGTTTCCTTCTGCAGACTTCCCACTACAGCTTCCCTCTGCCAGCCACTGCCACTCTCCCTCCAGTCTCCTCCTCTTCAGCATGCTGCTGAATTGGTTCTGGCTTGTTATTATGTTGTCTTTCTCTCCCCGTTCCTTTTTGGGGTTGTTTTGTTTTACCTACCTTTAAAAATTCTTTACTAGCCAGGCATAGTAATACACCATCTGTAATCCCAGCATTCAGAAGACAGAGGCAGAAGGATACCCTCAAGTTATTCCAGGCCAGCCTGGTTTACGTAGCAAGTTCCAGCCAGCCATGGCTATATAGTGAAACTGTAACTTTAAGGGGAGAAAAGTCTTTCTTTTTCTTTAATGGGGGAATATTTCAGAGGAATGAGTTTTTTGTAGCTAAATTTAGCTTAAGTTAAATACACTGCTAAATGTGTTAAAGCTCTGTGTTCATCTTAACAAATTCTGTGTAGCTAAGCAGTGTCAGTAAGAACATCATTCCTAATTGATGAATAAATAAAATAAACTAGCCTCACATGGGAACATCATTGAATCCCACATACAGTAGTCCTTGCTTATTGTTGAGGGTAAGGCCTGAGGATGCAGCCTGTAGGAGGTAACCTATAGTCTTTGAGTTCCTTAAGCAAAATTAATCAGTTTAACATAAATTACAATGAGATATAAATTATATGCCTGCTAGCTTTAGGATAAATTATAATAAATGCTAAATTTTCAAAATGTGGTTACTAAAACAACCTGGCATAAAAGTTAAACTTCTCATATCTGTTTTTCTAAATAGGTAAAAATCAAATGTTGTGTATCCTGCTTGGCCCCAAACGAAAATCAGAGCCAACTCTTAATGAAAGCCCAATTGTTTGCAAGTGACAGCTTCATGACCAATAGAATGTAACATTCAAGGTCTAAAGACTGGAATACTGTATCAGTCTTAGCTGTGTCATGTTAAAATTTTTCAACTGAAATATTTTTTTTTATTTGTCTGAAGCTGCCTTTAATATAATACCTCTTAGACACTCGCCTGAGTGTAGACAAGCCGTGACACAGGGTACATGTGACCTTAACTGTGACACTTTAGGGGCTTGACCATGATAGGTGTCAACTTGGTTAAAGCAAGTTATTTTATCTCAAAGAGAAATTGTTTATCATTTGAAAAAAATCAGAATCTAAGGAGTTAACAAGTAGTGCTTCTGACTCTTGCTGACTTAATTATAAGGTAGTGTTTCATCATCTACACTGATTTGAGGCATTAGAAAATGCCTTCTTTGAATGCCTTTCAAGTGAATACTAGTGTTTTACATGCCCCTTTTACCAAATAATTTTAATTAGTGCTTTCTTCAGACTCTTGGGGACACAAAACAGAGGCAGACCCAATAACAATACAAAAATAAGTTCAAAATTTCACAGCCGCAAGCAAAACTTTCCCTGGATAGAATGTGTCCGCTGCTTATTTAACCATTTATAACACACTGAAAGCAAAAGGCAGTTCATGGACGTATGCCCAGCTGTGTCTATTAGTACTAACAAAGTTACAAAGAAAACAGATGAAGCACCATTCTTAAATTAGAAATTCCTCATCATATAAAAAGACATTGTTTATGCCAGTATATCCAGGTGTCGGATGAAGTGTAGATGCTAGGTCACTGTTTCATAATAGCAACATCTGCAGATTTTTTTTACTTCTAAAAGTAATTGGCCTAACTGAAGTGATATCATGACAGGATGCTTCCCTTTCCTTGAAATAACTGAGCCAAATCTTTCAAAAGGAAAATATATCCAAAACATAAAAATGAAATTTTTTACCTAAAATTTATTTTTAAAACACAATACCAGGACCAGCAAAATGGCTCAGAGGTTAAAGGTGCTTCCTACCAAGCCTGAGAACCTGAGTTTAGTACCAAGAACCCATATGGTAAGAGAGCACCCACTTCTATACATTGTCCTCTGTTCACCACACAGAAACACTGGCACATGAGCCCACCAAAAATGACCTCAGACAATTGAAAGTCTTTATTCCAGCTAGCTGGAACTACACTCAAATATTCAGGACCGAAGTGTAGCCATGAGCATTTAGAACAAGGGGTTTTTATAAGGCAAAAAACACATCCTGCTATCTCACTCAGCAGCTACAGGGGTGTGTTTTATGCAAGCAAGCAGTTTAACAGAAGCTAAAATGAGCAGTTAGCTGGAAGGGGAGGTTTGCACAAGCAGGAAATTTAACAGAAACTAGGGTAAGTTAGCTGGGGTATCTTGACCTTAGATCCCTAGAACAAAGTTGGGTAATTTTCCATGGGAGTCTCCATCAAGGAGATCAAATTCTAATTAAACCTAAAATGGCCTCAGCAAGAATACAAGATGGAGGAAACTCTGAACTGTCCTTCCCTGTCATACCTGCACAAATACACTAACTATATTTTTTAATAATTATTAAATTTTAAAACATAGTACCAAAGGGGAAAATGTGTATAATATGAATGAAAATGTGAAGTACAAGAAATGATCCTTTTAGTTTCAGTATTGAATAATCCTGAGCATGTCCTAGAACCTTTTCATTATGTCCCACTTTGAGAACCTAACAGTGCTGACTGTGCCTTCAAAGTTTATTTACATTGTGAATTGGCTCACTCTGACCTGATGTGGTGGTGTTCCTCCTCACAGTTACTATATGCGAACACAGTGAAGGTCCTAACCCAAATGCAAAACCTATTTTGCCTGTTTAAGACAGGTTTCTTCCTTGTGACTTCACATGGGATCAGTCCAGTTGCCCCCAGACATTGGTTACTCTAAAATTCAGCCATGTATATTGGTAAAATAGCTGTAACTGATGGCTGCATGGTAGATTCAAGAATGTTGCCTGCTTCCTACTCAACTGAAAACTGGCAAACTTCACATAAAACAAATGGTTTTAAAACAAAGCAATTTTCCATTGTCTTTTAATATCATGAGTTTTAAAGCCATATATGAAGAGCTAGCATAGTACAAAATACACTGTTAGTCCTTCCTGAATCTTACTTTGTGAGGTCACAAGTTATTGTCAGCTACTTATTTGTCATTAGTGTGTCTTAGTCATACCCATAGGTCTCACATAGTCCACTGCACACTTCTAGTTTAGTATCTCTTAACACCTGAGAGCAGAATCCAGGTTTGTTGCAGCATATTTTCAAGGTGCTGATATTACCTATGATTTGACTTATAGAATTTTTTATGGGTCTTTTTAAGTTTTACAAAGAACCTAATGGCATGTGGACAAAAAAAATAACTATAAATTTATATTTTTCTAAATTCCATCTCAGATTCAATTCTTACTTATATAAGTGAAGCTGCCAGGTTTTACTCCAAGTGGAAAATAAAACTAAAATGCCTACAGTTAAGTCCTTTAACTCTGTACTTTGAATCTTTAGCAATGTAAATACAAGATTATTGTTTAAAGGGTATTTAGATGATACCTGAGAGAAACCTACAAGATTCAGTAGAATTAGTTTACTGACTGACTTGCCTATCATTCTAAACACTACATACAAAATGAAATTGTTGGATGCATACTTGCCCTATGCCCTGAAAATCATATGATCAATGATAAAAAATATTCATGAAGCCCAAAAATGTTCTTTGAGATCAGTAAAACTGATGAACCCCTAGCTAGACTGACCACAGGGAAAAGAAGACAGGAGATTAATTGATTGCCATATTAGAAATAAACATTACCACAGTTCATCTTCGACTCATCATTTCATTCTCAGCAGTTCACAAGAAAGACGAAAGCTTCAGTCTACACACACACTTGTAGCATACCTCTTCATAGCAACTTTATGTACAGTAGCCAAAATCATGGAAAAGCTCCATGTCTACCAACAGGGAGTAAGGTGTGGCACGTTAATACAGTGGAATACTATCTGTAATAAAAGAAGCATGAACGGATAACTAATCAGCATGGATCAATTACAGACAATTGTGCTTAGTGACATAAGGCAGACAGATCCCATCTGTATAAATAAGTGAAATGGGCACTTCTGTCCTTAGAAAGCTCTGCTACCCATAGCTTCATTCATATGACAAGGAGCAAACCAATGGTTTTTTGGGGAGTTTTCCAGATTCTGTTCCTAAGCATATTAAATATCAGAATAGTTAGGAAAGAGTTCACACATGTGTGAAGCAGGTGGGTTCTAAAGAAAATAGTCATTAACAGAAGCATTAAAATGTCCTTCAAACGTCTTTGTGGACTGGATCCTTAGTAGAGGCCTGAATCTTTCTTCCTCTGGAAATGGTGAGCCTGGACTGGCCTGTGACTGGTGAAGGTTTATTCCCATGTTTGCTGGAGTAGTTTGTCTTTGTAGCCTACCCCATCTGAGCATACTGCAGTCTCTGCCTCCTCAAGACTTTCAGATGGTAGAGTCAGGTTCCATCCTCATCTTGTGCTGGAGTCCACCTCTAACCTGTTGAAAGGTTCTTGGAGGGAGGAGAGAGGAATGAGGAAGTATTAGGTAGAAATATAGACGGAGACAACAAGAAAAACAGACACAGTATAGCTTTGGGAGGGCCCTGGGTCAGTAGTTGCCTCAACTTTATTCATGATAGGCTTTTTATACATCAGCAAGGGGCGGGGCAAAGACCTCCCCACTTTCAAGGTCGAGGCATAAAGTATCAATAAGTGTAGACCCTTTAAAATACCTGGTAACCAAACCCTTGGCCAAATCATTCCATTATGCAGCCCTGCTGGGCAAAACAAGTAAGACCTTACTAGGGAGCCTCTGTGGGCCCCCACAGTCTTGCTTAGTCTCCTTCACTGTCTGGCTGTCCTACCCTATACGTCACTAGCTCTCAGTGTGTGTACTGGTTTTAAACCAGAAGCTTGAACTAGAAAACTACATGGCATCAAAGGACAGGTCAGGGAGGAAACCTGAAGTCTGAACGCTGCTTGAGAAGGACTAGGAGGGCTGGTTGTGGGAATGTTGCTCAGTGGTGCAGTGCTTGCCTGTTATCTGCAGGCCCTGGATTCGGTCCCCAGCACCACCAGAAGAGGAAAAAGGGCCAAGCGTGGTGGCACACACCTTTAGTCCCACACTTGAGAGCCAGAGGCAGGTGGATCTCTGAGTTTGAGGCCAGCCTGCTTTATATGGTGACTAGGACAGCCAGAGTTGCAAAGTGAGACCCTGTCTCTTTAACGCCCCCCCCCCCACCAAAAATTGCAAACATTTGAATGATAATTGCTGTATTAGGACATAGTTGGCAAACACTTAACAAAGCAAGAGGGGGAAATGTTTTTGTAATTTATTTTTCATTACAGAAATGGAAGAAAGTATTACTAAATCTAATATCACTTAGATTAACTTTTTTTTAAAGACAAGGTCTCACTATGTAGCCCTGGCTAACCTGGAACTCCCAAGAGATCCATCTGCCTCTGTCTCTTAAGTGCTGGGATTAAAGGTGTGCACCAACACAACAGGCCAGAGAAACTTATTTTCATGTCCAGAGATAATGCTATAAAATAATGTTGTTAGTCTCACTTGAGTTTTATTTCATTATAACTATAAACTGTCCAACTATTCTTAGTCTTTCTAATTAGTTGTTCTTATACTATAGTCACAGGAAATGCATGGGGTCTAGTTCCTTTATTTTACTAAGGAGAAAAACTCATACTTACTACAAGTGCTTACAGTTCTAAAAGGCTAGGAGCCACACTCCCTATTATTCAGAACATGTCGAGGAAGAGGCACCACAGTGTACAGGCCTACTATGTATGCTTTAGATACTTTTAATGTACCTTCTATTTATTTAATATTACTTAATAAAGTAAACATTTAGTTCAATCAAAAAGACAGTAAGAGAGAGAGAGAGAGAGGAGAGAACTTATAACAGAAAACTAGGGGTATAACGGATGATAAACTTTTTAAAATTTTATTTTTAATAGGTGGGGGGTTTTGGTAGCTTCATAAATACTGCATCTACATCACTCCCACCCCTCCAACTCCTCCCTTGTCTCTCCCTCCCAAGTTCATGAGCTCTTCGATTATTGTCACATATATACACGTGTGTGTGTGTATCTTACTGTGTCCGTTTAGCTTTGCTTATGTGTCCACATGGCCAGGGTTGACCCCTTGGGATAGACAGCCTATGTGGGAGCTCACCCTGGAGGAAATGGACTCTTGCCCTCTTAGCAGCCATTGTCACCTGTAGCACTTCATCTAGGTGTTGAACTGTGTGGAATTTCCCATGGTAGTGCCCTGTCAGCTGGGGGTGTCCTGCTGGTCTTGTTCAGACAACCATATTGAGAGTGTCGTTCGTGTCTAGAGGACACTATCTAACGTCAGGTATCCCAGGCCTCTGGCTCTTACACTCTCTGCAGCCTCCATTCCTCCAGTGTCCCTGAGCCTGAGGTATAGGAGTTACCTTGAAGATGTGTCATTGGAGGTTAGACACCCCGTAGTCACTTAGTCCCTGTAATAGTCTTCATCTGTTGCAAAAAGAAGCTAGTTTGATGAGCGGTTAAAGCTACACTTACTTGTGGGTATACGGATAAATTTTGAAGAAAGAGTTTGAAATTATACTGGTTTGGGAAACTGGCAGTAATCGGTTCTCCTCTTGAGTCTTTGACCTCTCCAGACACAAGTAGTTGCTAGATTTAAAATCTAGATCATGACTTAAAATTCCCATTGGTTTATTAGGAGCAGTCAACATATTGCACACACACCTGCTTACTTCAGCTAACCAAGTCTGTCTATCCAAATTAAACATGAGGAGAAAGGCTGTATTTATTGTGTGTACATGCATGCATGAGTGTATCCAGGTGTGCTCACCATGCGAGTGCATGTGGGGGATAGAGAGTGACATCACAGTATCATCCTCAATGGCTCCTCTACCTTATTTTGTTAGCCATTTAGACAGGATCTCACCAAACCTGGAAGCACCCTCTTGTCTAGGCTTGATAGCTACTAAACCCTAGGGAGTCCCCTGTCCTTACCCATCCCCAGTGCTGGGCTTACAACATGCACTGCCGCTCCCGGCTTTTTATGTGGGTGCTAGGGATCTGAACTCAGTTGTGCCATCTCTCCAGCCCTAAAAGCTGACCTTCGGGCAGGCTACCTGTAATACTCGTTAGAAACAGCTTTTAGCAAATACGGTTGTGACTGAAACTTATCTTGACCAGGCAAAGTTCTGTAGCTGCTCTTAAGACTGAGCAGCACTACCCAGGCAGTGATGGCTCACCCCTTTAATCCCAGCACTTGGGAGGCAGAAGCAAGCAGATTTCCAAGTTCAAGGCCAGCCTGGTCTACAGTGTGAGTTCCAGGACAGCCAGGATATACAGAGAGACCCTGCCTGGGTGGGTGGGTGGATGGGACTGCCTGGAAAACTAGGGCATGTCACAAGTCATCAGCCTGCTTTCAGCCATATGAGATGGCTCCACAGAGGCTGTCTAAAATATGCTGTAAACAGTCAAACAATCAAGTCTTGCCCTGCATTTCCCCCTCCCTCAATCATCCATATTCCTTTGTCTAGGACCTTGCTGATGAATTGACAAAAATAAGGCGACAAGTGGGTCTGGTGGCTCAGCATATTGGCAGCTAAGACAGGAGGAGCCCAGCAGGTTCAGGCCCAGCTCCCCAGCCCCCACCCCCATGCTAAATAATGAATTCCAGACCAGATTGGGCTGCTGTGTTAAATTCCTGTCTCAAAACACCAAGAAAAAAAAAATGTTAAAAGACACACATTCCTCCCCTTTCCTTTAGCATCTGAAGGGATTTTTCTTCTAGACTGTGTCTCCTGTAAGCAAGGCTGACATTGAACTCCATCATATTTCAGGTAAGTGTTCTATGGCATGCCTTTTACTTTTCTGTTGACCTTACTCTCTATGTGTGTTTCAGGTTCACAACCAGTATCCAGCTGAGTTTGAGTTCAATCTCTATTACCTGAAGTTCTTGGCTTTCCACTATGTGTCTAATCGCTTTAAAACATTTCTTCTGGACTCAGACTATGAAAGATTGGAGCATGGTATGTATTTATATGCCCCTGTTTATCTTTGTTAGTTTTGCATGTTTTCAGTGAAAACGTCAATAATGTAACTGATCCTAAATAAGATTGGAGTGTAGAGTGACCCAAGGAACTGCCCAGTTCCAGGGCAATGTGCTCTCTCAGCCATTAGTTACAGCAAAGTGCTCATTCTTGTCCTGCCTGTGTAAAGTTAAAAATGCTCACTCTTTGACACCTACAAGTGCTACCACTATGTAGGAGACATGTTTAATTCATAGTATTTTCATTCATGTCCACTCTGATAGAAAGGGACCTGTCCACGGTAGTAGTTTGGTTGGCAGTTCATGCAAAAGTCTCCAAACCAAACAGATACCAAAGTGAAGTTCTAGCACTACCAGTTACCAGCTGTACTTTGTGGGGACAGTGATGGGTACAGTAGGACTGTAGTGACCACAGGAAGAAGCAGTGGGCAATTTCTCGGCATAGTTGTTAGCATGTAATAAGCACTGGAGAAATTGTAGACATCACTACCATTATCACAGTTTCTAATAGATTCTGAAAAAACATGAAAACATTTGGGGGGGGTTGTTGTTAGGAAAACAGGGAAATATGCACAACAAATTATTGTTAGGATAATTCAAAAAAAAAAAAGTCGGCACTTGTTCCAGGTGGCTTGATTGGAAGAGTGCTTGCCTAGTATGTACAGAGCCCTGGATACCATCACCTGCATCACATAAACCGAGCATGGTGCTACATGCCTGTAATTCTAGCACTCAGGAGGTGGGGAATTAAAGTAAAACCAAGTCAGTATTCTCAATTACATCATATGTCACAGAGTATTTAGAAAGAGGACCCTTCACAACTAAAGCTTTTTCAGTGATGTCCATTTAAAAATCTGAAATCAAGTGCTACTTCCAAGTCATGTTGTTAAACTGTCTGCTGTGATATTTCACTGTGGGTGAAGGAAAGAATACTGGCCAGACCTTTTCCATTCTGTTTGTTCTTCAGACCTTTGTCATACCTCATATCACAATCAGAAACAGTACCTTAAGTAGAGCTGGTGACAGCTGCCTGTGTCTGTTCTTCAGCCAACTGAGTATGACAGGGTCATTCTGTGTTATTACTAAAAGGTACATTATATGCATATGTAGCTGTCAGAGAAATACAAAGCTGGCCAGCAAATTACCTTCACTCCAGGTGGGTGTGGCCAAAGCCCGAGGTTCCTGCTGTGCCAGATGATGACCCTAGTTAGAGAAACACCAGAATCTGGTGCAACACTTCTCAGATTGACTAGAATTATCTGGGGACATCTAGGCAGCACCTCCAGCCACTTGAATCAGAACTTGAGGGTGGGGCCTAGGCAGCCAGAACTTTTTAAAGCTCCCAGGTGATTCTACCATGTTGCCAAGGTTAAGTGCTTCATTGATCCAGTAGGGATAGCATCAAACTAAGTCAGAAAGTATGACAATGGGTGAACAGTTTCATCCCTCAGCCTCAGTTTCCTCAGGCTTCCTCCTCTGGCCAAGGCTTTCGGTCCCATCTATGATCTAAAAGATTAAATAAAAAGATTTAAAGGAATCAGGTAAGAGAATATTTTACTAAACCTGTTGACAGAGTGAAATTATTTTCATCCTGTGTCTTCCACATTTTTCATAAACCACCTAGAATGTCATTACCAAAGGGCCTATCCAAACCCCTTTCTGGACCCAAGGGGTACTCACCATCTAGCCTGGTTTAATTTATATGCCAGTCCAGTCTGGGTTGCCTAATTGGAATCTGTCCCTGCTGGGCAGACTGTGGGAACTATCCTCTACCTGCCAAGGTCAATAATTAAAAGGACTCTCAACCACTGCTGATGGACTTCAGTCATAACTGTCAAGGTTTCATCAGAAACTCTCCACTGGAAGAGTATATTACTGCTTTAGAATTGGACTTTAATAGGACTTGATGATAGTGTCTGATGGTGCAAGTATTTTTTTAAATGTTTAAATTTAAATTGTTCCCTGTGTATGTACATGTTACTCTAAGACAGTCATCTGGATAGAAAAGTCCGTTGTCCATGGTTCCAATCACTGGGTAGCACCAGATGGAAAAGTGTGTCCTAAGACACAGAGGGCTACCTCTTGTACCTTCCCTCATTCTCCTGTCTAAAGTCTATCACAGCCTCCAGGGTGCTTCTTCCCTAGTGAAGCTGTGAGAGAGAAGGAAGAAAAACACAGAAAGGAAACAGTTATTCTTGGGGCCTGTGGGTTACAGGACTTTGTACAGCCTTGGGCCTGAGGCAGTCTCTTGTGGGAAAAAGTTAACTTTTAACAGGATCACTTCATACAAAACAAAGTAGCAGTGCCTTTCCAGGACTTGCTCTTGCCTCACCCTAGCGTATTCAAACCCCCAACTCCATTAAGAACACAGAATACACAGCCAGGCATGGTGGTCCATAGGGAGGCAGAGGCAAGTGAATCTGAGTTCAAGGCCAGCCTGATCTACAGAGTGAGTTCCAGGACAGCCAGGGCTACACAAAGAAACCCTGGGGGATGGGGGGGAGTTGGTATCAGAATCTAAGTTCATGTAATCACTCAAGGAAACAGAACACAACCTCTGTCATTCAGAGTTTCTGTGACTATCATTTATAGTACAAGTAAACTTTTAACCAAGAATATGCTTTCAATTGCTTCATAATAAACAAGTTTTGTTTTTTTATTTTGAAGTTATTTTTAGTTAAAGAAAAAAACAGGCTTTCCAAGGGTGACAAAGTGAACTGAAGGTCAGAAGGAAGCTGTGTGTGGGCTTATCATAAGCCTGGAAATGAGAACTGACTGGGTCACCAGAGACACTCTTTGTTGGGGTGGGCAGAGCTACGATTGATCAATGGCATGGTCTATGTGGGCTCTCGGGCAACCACCCTGTGCCCACTGACAGGATTAACACTATTATTCTGGGGGACGTTAAATTAAGGAATGAAACAGGAAGCCAAGACAGTGGCTTATTCGGTTATTCAGTTGGATTCTGAATCACAATCAGGAAATAGTCTTTATCTGGTGCAACCATAATTTCATTTTTCTTGGAGTGAATTCGAAGGAAGGTTAGATCATTCTGGGGGTCAGTTTCACGCACAGTGCTCCGTGCCTTCAAGATGAAGTTGTGCAGGAGGTCGGCGTATTGTGTAGTAGTGGCATTGTCCATGGTGCTCTTGATGGGAATGCCTTCTGTGTTCACCACGATGATTCCCTGCATCCTTTCTGGCTCTGAAGTCTCTTGAGTGTTTCCTCCACCTCTGCCTTCTCGGACCGATCCGGCAGCTCCGAGTCCGCGACGCTCAGCGAGTTCCATAATAAACAAGTTTTTTAAAGAAGCATAAAATTACATTTTCAACTGAGCTGCATCAGTTAATAAGTCCATTTTCTCTTAAGAAATGTGTAGCCTGTCTCCTTTGTGGCTATACATCAGAAGCAGGACATGAGTGGGACAGCCCTGCCAAGACCCTATCCCACATTTTCTGAAGGCTTGACCTGCTTGTCCCTGTTTCTGTTGGCAGTTAGCTTTTGAGATTTCTGCTCATTTGCTGCTGATTTCAGAGACTTAAGTATTTCACTTTTCCTCTTCTATGTGATTCGTACTTTTAGACAAAATTTCAAATTCTTTCCATTTTGATGGTTTTTTTTTAATTACAGGAACTTTATTTGATGATAAAGGTGACAAGCATGCCAAGAAAGGAGTTTGTATTTGGGAGTGCATTGACAAGATGCACAAGCGGAGCCCCATCTTCTTCAATTACTTATATTCATCAGTGGAAACAGAGGTAGAGTGAAGTCACCTGGGTCTTATTGTCTGAAGGCTTTGTAGAAAAGTTTCTCTTCATTTCAGTATACGTAAACATTGGTGAGGTTTCAAACAAAAGGTATTTAAAAGTTTAAGATGGCATGTGGGGAGGGGGAAAAAAAAGATGGCATAGGGTTGGGTTGGGTTGTAATGGAAATGGAGACTATTCACTAAATGCTTGATGCAAATACTGGGAGCTAGTCTCCAAAACTTAGAAGAGGTAATGTCAGTACAATCAAAACAAAGCAGTTTTACCTCTGTAGAAGTAAAGGTATGCCACCACGCCAGGCCACAGCTGACAAATCTTCAATGCTTTAGTGTATAGTAAACCTGAGGAAGGGCCTCGGGACGCACTGACATTTATGGCAGATACGTCATATTTATGCCAGAGGATGGGGCAGCAAGGCTTGGTCATGTCATCTGCATGACCTAGGCTTGCAACAGGCAGGTTTGACTGCCTGACGCGCTGCGAACTCAGATCTTAACAGCTAAACCCTGTCTCCAGCCCATAATTTCATCTTTTAAGTTACTCCTGGGGCTCAGCGTGGTGGTACATGCCTCTAGTCATATCACTTGAGTGATAGAAGCAGGAGAATCACAAGTTTGAGGCCAGCCAGGACTGCATAGCAAGACAGTCTCATAAACATCAATAAAAGTACTAGATGGGAATGGTTTTTTTTTTTTAAAGATTTATTTATTTATTATGTATACAGCATGTATCCCTGCAGGCCAGAAGAGGGCACCAGATCTCATTACAGATGGTTGTGAGCCACCATGTGGGTGCTGGGAATTGAACTCAGGACCTCTGGAAGAGCAGACAGTGCTCTTAACCTCTGAGCCATCTCTCCAGCCCCCAAGGGAATGGTTTTATACCATACGTAAATCAGATACTTGGGGGCTGGGCAGGTTTGATAAGCAGAACTTCAGTACTTAGGGGATACAGAGGTCCCTGCCCTGGGCCATGCATTATAACTCTGACCTTTCTCTGGTGAGACCTCCACCAAGAAACCAAATGCTCACTTTTAGGTGGACTCTCCTCATCTAATCTTTGCTCTGGGTACTCTACATCCCTGGTCTGAACCCAAGCCACTCACCAGTCTACTTGTCCAAGTCCCAAGGCCCAGAGGAACCAAGTAGCTGCCTGACATGGAATGAGCAGAGTTTGGCTTTGTGGCCTAGGGTATACACAAATGTTCATGCGAGGTCAGGGTGGGAGGAGGAGGTGGTTAAACCAAGACCTGTGAGCTGGGGACCCATCTCCCCCTGTGTCACTACTTCATAGTTTAGAATTATGAGGAACCCAAGAGCACTTTATTTGAATCTGACCTTCCAAATCATTAGGAAGTTACATTTGTTGGAGAAGGAGGGTAAACATTTTTTTATTTAATGTTCTCTTGATGTAGAAGTTTGAAATATTTAGGTGAATTTTATAAACTTGCTCTACACCCTACAAATGTAGGGGGCTGGCCTGGCAGTAAGCACTTCAGGGTTGAGAGAAAATTACATTTCAGAATTCTCTTTGAACAGGCCCTGAAGCCTAATGTAAATGTCTCCAGTCTCAAGAAGTGGGATTACTACACAGAGGAGACTCTGTCTGCAGGTCCTTCATACGACTGGATGATGCTGACCCCCAAGCATTTTCCCTCTGAGGAATCGGATATAGCTGGAGGAGTTGGGCCCCAGAGTCAAAGGAGAACAGTGTGGCCGTGCTATGATGACATCAGCTGCAGCCAGCCAGATGCCCTCACCAGACTTTTCAGTGTAAGTCCGCAATGTGTAGACATGCCCACAGGCACCAGGCCCCAAGAGAACAGCTTAGCCTGCCTTGCATACTTCTGTCTATAATGGCTCCCTTACTTTGGGCTGTGTCTTAGTTAACACTCTGAATCTGAAGAATCCAGCCTTGATTCTGTGCAGCAGTGGGCACCACACTTACCGATTGGCAAAGATACCCATAAAAGTGGCTTTGCATGCCGGGCAGCGGTGGTGCACGCCTTTAATCCCTTTAAGCACTCGGGAGGCAGAGCCAGGCAGATCTCTGTGAGTTCGAGGCCAGCCTGAACTACAGAGTGAGATCCAGGACAGGCACCAAAGCTACACAGAAACCCTGTCTCAAAAGATGGGAAAAAAAATGCTACAAGGAAGCAGCTGAGAAAACAGAGCAGTTTCCCTTCTGATGGCTTCCCAGCAGCGTTGCCTGCCTAGGCTGTTGGAATTAGGCCTAGGCAATGGCTTTTGTGGGTGCTTTACTTCCCTTTGTTAGAAATATGGGTAGCTGATGGCCTGGTGGGACACCTTCTACAAGACAGATTCTGGAGTGAGCCATCCTGGCAATAGCCACTGGGACAGCTTTGGGTTCTGATGTGGGTCAGACAGTTGATAAAGAGTCCCCTCTGTTTCCAAGCCAGGAAGACTGTGCTGTGCTGCAGTGATGGCTGTCTCAGCACCTGTCAGAGGGAATCATTTTCATGAACATCCCTTAGTTCATTCTTTGCACATCTGGTTTGAGTCACCAAAGTTGAGGGCTTCTCTGTCAAGAAAAAACTTAACTGCCTCAGCCATTAGGGTTGGGACATAGGCCCACGGTAGGCCTTTCGCTTTGGTCATCAGATTTCCCATGAGCTGTCCAAGAGTGAAGAAGGTGTCTGAGACACACACTCCATGGCTTATTATTTAAGTCAGTCTGTTTTTTTAAAAAAAAAAAATCCCTGCTGAGTCCTAATAAATCATCAAATCCAGCTCTGCTCTAGCCATGCTGCTCATCTGGGCCCAGGACAGAGGAAACCTGTGTCTCCAGGCACACTCTACCTTTTGTAAAATATTCATCTGTCAAAACTGTCCTTCTCATTTCTTTGCAGGAAATTGAAAAATTGGAGCATAAATTGAACCAAACTCCTGAGAAATGGCACCAGCTATGGGATAAAGTAACCACGGACCTTAAGGAGGAGCCAAGAACAGACCATGTGAGTTGGCAAAGCCCCCTGAGCTTTGGAAAGTGCTAGGTCAGATGGAGCCCACAGCCCATGACCCAGAGAAAATGGTAGAGAAGGGTCATGCCCTGAGGGTTCAATGCAGAACGTTCCAGATGACCAAATGCTTCCTGAATGTCTCGCTCCCCACAGTGACATAATGCACATGTCTCAGGCACTGAGTCCAGAGGAAATTACGGGTTCTCTATCTCGGTGCCACTGTGGTCTCTGTTGGCCTTCCACAAAACACAGGGAATGCCAAGCCCTGTTTGCTCCAGAGAAACAAGCAAAGAGAAATATTCTAAGATGACAACCTAAGCTACTTTCTGTTTCCCAAACTTCCTTTTCTGTTTGCTTCCTCTTTCTCGTCCCCCAGTTCCTATTCCTGTTATTAGAAACAGTTATCAAGCATATGATATGTCCAGGGGACTGAGCCCTATGCAGTCCACAGTGAGCACGGTTTGTACCTCATGACAAGGAGGAATGCAGAGAAGTCTCACAGCTACTGACTGGCAGGGCCACCACTCACAGCCACAGCAGACTGACTCCCAGCCCAGCACAGGGAAGCGAGGTTGCATGAGTGTTCTGAAGAACATTTCAGGGAAGAGAGACAAGACCAGTGGCCTGAGAAGAAGGCCCTTGATGAAAGGGCCTCTGGGCTCCATCTTACCTTCACGTGGCTGTGCAGGAACTATTGCCACTTGGACATAAAGCATCATCATCCACCTGTAGCTTGAGTTTTCCTGCCTGGCCCACAGTCAGGACAAATCTCTCTCACCTGCCAGTCCCACAGACGCTCAGACCCGACCAAGTAAACACAGAGACTTATATTGGTTACAAACTGTATGGCCGTGGCAGGCTTCTTGTTAACTGTTCTTACAGCTTAAATTAATCCATTTCCATTCATCTATACCTTGCTACGTGGCTTGTGGCTTACCGGTACTTTACATCTTCCTTGTCCTGATGGCGGCTGGCAGTGTCTCCCTCACCCAGCTTCCTGTTCTCTCAATTCTCCTCTCTGTTAGTCCCGCCTATACTTCCTGCCTGGCCACTGACCAATCAGTGATTTATTCATTGACCAATCAGCAACACATGTGACATACAGACCATCCCACAGCATCCACCTGTGGCCTTTTACCCCAGAAAAATAAAGTTGTTTCTAGATTTTTTTAATGATATACATCCTACTTTCATTTTTAAAGTAACAGTACACAGGTTACCAAGAGATGAAAATTACCCACAATGTATAACCTAGAAATAAGAGATTTATTGTATGTGATATTTGAAAGCCTGCCTTCTTGTTGGCATACATGCTATTTGTCTGCATGGTTTTGGTTGTTGTCTGGAGCTCCATTGCAAAGGAATAACAGGGTTTTTTTTGTTTTTTTTTTTTTTTGGTTTTTTCGAGACAGGGTTTCTCTGTGTAGCTTTGCGCCTTTCCTGGGACTCACTTGGTTTATTTTTTTTTTAACCAGTCCCCAAATAATGGGTATTAGGTTGTTTCTAGTTTTCATTAAAAGAACAAAACAGGATAAATGTTTGACATGTGTTCGCTCACTAGTCAGTTTTCACCCTGAGATACATTTGTATAAATGAAATTATCAGCCAATCCCTAAGCCTCTGGGAAACTGTCCTAGCCCTGTTCTGTCTTTCTCAGTCCCAAAGACACTCATCGGGGTCCCCAGGACTTGTATCTACCAACGTGCCTTCTTATCAGAAGAGGCCTGTGCTGCACCCACTGGACCACAGCACTGGCGAGGATCAGAATGCCACCATCGCCCCGTCCAATGGCGTAGAGCACAGGGCAGCTACGCTTTACAGCCAGTACACATCCAAGAACGATGAGAACAGGTGACATTGCTGTGTCCTGACAGGGCCTCAGCCAGCCCTGGGCAAATAACCTGTCAGACTTGAGATGGATTTGCTTTCATTCTGTGGGTTTTTGTTTTTCTTAAATGCTTTGTTTAGATGGTTCTTGTGGGGGAGGTCAATATTTGAGAGAATGTGTGTCAGACAATACCTTTTCAGTGGCACACATCAGAAATCCCACTCATCCTGGCAAAAGAAAAAGGAGTTTACTCATATAAACTAGGATGCCAAAGACATGCTATAGTGTCTCACAGCATCTTCAGACTTCTCTTTCCAGCTGTTGCTCCTTGGTGTTTCAGCACTCCTAGCATAGCGGAAAGCATGGAAACCAAGAATTTGTAGATACACAGGGGAGTGTGGTCGTCCCAGCAGGAGTCAGTCTCTCCCCAAAGGGCTAGGGACAGAACTCCTGGGAGAGCTCATTAGGGAGACAGAAACCTGACAAACAGAAGGCAGTCTGTTCGATTCTGTAATGAAGTCAGAATAAACTGTCTTGTTGCCCTTCCTTCTAGATCCTTTGAAGGAACGCTGTACAAGAGAGGAGCTTTGCTGAAGGGTTGGAAACCCCGTTGGTTTGTTTTAGATGTAACGAAACACCAGGTAAGACCTGAAAAAACTACTCCTGTCTAGGCTCATCGCAAGCCCTGCTTATGTATTTCTCACACACAGCATGGTCACCTAGGGCTTCACCTTTGTAGATGGTGGCTCTTCCAAGGCCCAAAATGTCCCTGGCAGTAATTGTTGGGAGGAAATTTTAAAGTAGCCTCTACCCAGAGCCCAGCATGTTCAGAACACTAGCACTCTTAATGCATAAATGTCTCCTCTCTTTTTCTTCTTAAATTTAATTTTTTTTTAATTTGGAACTGGAAAAATATTTTCTCTGTAGAAAATAGTAAAAATGATAACATTTCCTAATAAGCCTTTTTAAGCCAAATAATAGCTGAATTATAATCAATATAAATATTGATTAGATTCTGAGATACAGAAGAAACCTATCTTCATCTGTTCAGAGAACTTTTAGTTAAGTTATATAAGTGAGATTCCTATTCATCTTCCCCTTTACTGTTTGATTACAGCAGACATTTTTCTATAGGCTAATCCATAATCTAAAAAGATTTTAGCCTCCCCTCCAGAAAGTACAGCCAGCATATCCTTTCATCAGCTTGATACAGTACAAATTCTTATCCTAATAGTGAAATGTTTCACTAAAGCATGCCCAGTTATTGGGCAAAACAAAATCTTATTATAAGCCAGAGTCATCCTAGGGTCCTCCCTGCTAGGTAGCCTTCCTGGATCTGTGGGTTGCAGTCTGGTTATCCTTTGCTTTACATCTAGTATCCACTTATGAGCGAACACATACAGTGTTTGTCCTTCTGAGTCTGGGTTATATCACTCAGGATGATATTTTCTAGTTCCATCCATTTTCCTACAAATTTCATGATGTCATTGTTCTTCTCTGCTGAGTAGTACTCCATTGTGTATATGTACCACATTTTCTTAATCCATTCTTGAGTTGATGGGCATCTAGGTTGTTTCCAGGTTCTGGCTATTACAAATAATGCTGCTATGAACATAGTTGAGCATGTATCTTTGTGGTGTGATTGAGCATTCCTTGGGTATATGCCCAAGAGTGGTATGGCTGGGTCTTGAGGTAGATCGATTCCCAATTTTCTGAGAAACCGCCATACTGATTTCCAGAGTGGTTATACAAGTTTGCACTCCCACCAACAGTGGAGGAGTGTTCCCCTTACTCCACATCCTCTCCAACACAAGTTGTCTTCAGTGTTTTTGATCATAGCCATTCTGACAGGTGTAAGGTGGTATCTCAGAGTTGTTTTGATTTGCATTTCCCTGATGACTAAGGTAAATGTCTCCTTTACCATTCAGGTCTGGAAGCATCTGGGAGCATTAGCCTGTTGCATGCACATATGAGCTAGGTGCCGCCTTCCCTCCCAGGGTACAGCTGTCCATCTTTGCTGCAGAAAACATCCAGTTATGACAGATTTATCCACCATTTTTTGCACCCCACCTCACTGTACTGGTTATTTAGCAAGGAAGTGCTATTCTTCAAAGATGGGAGCATTGGGAGTGGAGGTGCACACCCAGCCCTGGGATTCACAGCAGGCTAGATTAGACCTTCACTCAGAACTCCTTGGCATGCTTTACTCTTTGTCCTCACTGCTACAGGTTAGACTTCAGCTCTTTGCTCCTGTAATCTCAAGGGACTCTTATCCAAACCTTCTGCCCCAAACACCCTTCATTTGCAAGAGAAGTGAAACCTTTGTTTCAGGCCGACTTGGCTGTGGTCAAAATGCAGAGTATATCAGGAAGGACCTAAAACAGTGGTTCTTAACCTTCCTGATGCTGCACCCTTTAATACAGTTCCTCACGTTATGGTGACCTCCACCATAAAATTATTTTTGTTGCTACTTGAGAACTATTTTTTTGCTACTGTTACGGATCGTAATGTAAGTGTCTGCTACGCAACCCCCAAGGAGGTCACAAGTCACAGGTTGAGAGCGGCTGCTGCTGTAGTCTGTGCCCTGACAGCACTCCCGTAGGACAGCATCAAGAGGATCCTTCCAGAGCAAGACTGGTGTGGGGCCACCTTCTCCTCTGGTTCAGGGGCTTTGTTGGTTTGTTTGTTTGTTGACCCTTAAGAATATTGAGATTTTCAAACACACAAATAGAAGCCCTTTTAGAGCTGTACTTTAAAACAGCAGTGTCCTTGAAATCATAGACCCTTCACTGTGTAGAAAAGTTCCGTTGAACCACTAAATATAACATAGGAAAAAATCATGATTTTCCTATAATTTAAAATTATATCAAATGATACTTGTATTCCTACCATCTTCTGGATTTCTTTAGCATGGAAGATATCTAGTTTTTCCATTTAGTCCTGCTCATGCCATGCCTGGGGTGGGGGTGCGTCAAGAGCCACAGGAATGGAAATGCCAATCACAGTCCTGCTGTGCACACTGGAAGGAAGCAGAGCTAGGCCAAGAAGGCTCTCACCAGCAAGCTCTTCAGCTTTTAAAATACTTCATTTCTTCTTATTCCAAAGGAATACATGGTTATTGTGCCAAATTTAAACAGCTCATAAAGCTCTAACAGCCACAGAGCCGGCAGCTCGGAGTTGTCTGTGATGTCCTTCGGCACCATTTATACTGCCTGTCTGCTGCTTGCCAGCTGACTGCATTTCAAAGCCTTCCTTGTCCTGTGCCCATCTCATGGCCATGCTGTCACTTCGAGAGCCAGTGTTCAGTGCTGAGCTCACAAAGGCAGCACCCATGGAGGTCACAGCATTTCCTGTTCCTGTGGGGAAGCAGAGGAGAGAGAGAGATGGTTCCAGACACCAACATTCATCCTAGCCGACATCACTTAATTGTTTCTAATAAGTTTTGTTCCCAGTAACAGCATATGGGAGTCTCAGTGTCTTGCTGGACATTGCCAGCCACTGTAGTATTTCTCAGACTAAGAGTGGACTCTCAGTAACTTCATTTGTCAGACAAGGCTGGGAAGATTCCAGATGTTTGTAGCTCAGTGGTGTTTCTCCTGTGCCTTGCTGGTTGCAATCCTTTGGTCATTTTCAGGTAGGTGATTTATCAGTGTCTAGGAATTTGTTGTTTTGTTATTGTTTTTTCAAGAGCGTTTCTCTGTATGTAGCCCTGGCTGTCCTGGATCTCGCTCTGTAGACCTGGCTGGCCTTGAACTCACAGAGATCCGCCTGCCCCTGCTCCGAGTGCTGGGATTAGAGGCATGTGTAAGAGACAGCCAGTGTTGTTAATGCTAGGGTATTATTCCATGCAGAGTTAGCACGGAAAAGCAAGGTGCAGAGGAAAGTGATCAGACACAGTGTGGAAAGCCATGTCGTTTCCCTTCTCAGCCCGTCTGTCTCTCTGGTCCTAGCTCCGATACTATGACTCGGGAGAAGATACGAGCTGTAAAGGCCACATTGATCTGGCTGAAGTAGAAACAGTCATGCCTGCCAGCCCCAGCATGGGAGCCCCAAAGTCTACGAGTGACAAGGCTTTCTTTGATGTAAGTCCATCTTTCCTGTTCTCCTGCATGCCTCTCAGCGCCTCCCAACATTACAGGTCCTCAGAGGAGTTGGTAGTCACTCGAGATGGGGGTTTTACGGCTTTGGGTGAGTGGCAGACTAACCCATGACTTTCCTTTTCACACTGCCCAGAGCCTGTCTCATCCTCTGCCTTACTATAGCGCTGTCACTCACTCAGTCACTTTGGAGTGAGGAGAGGAAAGTTAGGCAGAGTGAACACGAGGAAAGCTGACATCTTCCTGGAGTTGCCTTTGAGGAAGGAGATGGGGGAGGGCCTCAGGGCTTCTCTCCTACCCAGCACCAGAGCGAACGGCAAGAGGGCTCTGGGGGAACTATCCACTCCTTTTTTCAGTTGAACAGCATCCTAGCCTGTCAGGGATGGAGAATGTGTCCTCCCCCTTGATGACACTGGCTGCATCCTAAGGATTAGTTAGTTAGGGACTAGCTAGTCATCTGTTTTTGCATGACCCTTAGAATACCCCACAGCCCACCTCACGGTGACAGATGATGTTAGAACAGGCAGTTATGTCTGGCCAAGATGGAACTAGTTGCCACTCACCCAGAGCCACAAACAGCCTGCTTTATATTTGCTCCTCTGTCATTCGGTTCTGTAGCTCAAGACCAGCAAGCGTGTCTATAACTTCTGTGCCCAGGATGGACAGAGTGCCCAGCAATGGATGGACAGGATCCAGAGCTGCATCTCTGATGCCTGATG